AATGGAGTCAATCACAGATAAATATATCAATATAATAACCTGACATCCAAAAATATCATGCATAAAAATAGATAGAATAAAAAATAGTGTAAGGTATAACACAGTATCTGGGCCAACAGACTGGCTACAAAAATATAATCACAGTATCAAAATTATAATCAAGTATCACGGATATATAAAATGAAGGGAGAGATATAGAGATCAAGCAGAAGAAGTCGGTCTAGTGGGGCGTGATCCCCGGATGTCTCTGGAAATGCCCTGCAGCGCAGTCAAGACGTCCGCATGGAGAGTAGTCACATCGGTGCTAAGGGAGGTCACATCTGCCCGAAGAGAGACAACTGTATCTTCCAAGGTCTGGATATGCTCTCCTAGGCTAGGTGTTTAAACTGGAGCGTCAGGGATGACTGGATCATGAAACTGAGGTATATCCTAACTCTACTCTTGAGAATATAACGATAACCCTACAGGCGAGTGATGTGGTGACTCCTCTGGAGGCTGCTGCTCTAAGTCAATCTCCATATGTGCGTCCGCAGCCACCGGTGGGTCTGCTGGATTATTTGCTACTGCTGCTGCCTCTTCTATCTCTCCCAACTCTTCCTCCTCAGTCTCCTCAATTGCCAAGGTGGCCTCATCCTCTAGACTCCTAATAAGAGCGTTGTAGCTCTTATTCCAATCCTTCTTGCCATAGTGGCAAGCCCCTGGCTCAGGATGCTCCGCCGGGTGAAAAAGATAATACTGGTCCCGGAGGATCTGGGTAATCAGATGTGCGAAAGGAAGGAAGATGACGCGCCCGGGCTTAGCATTGCTGATGTAGCTCGAGTGAAGTCTCATCATAATACTCCAGGAGAGTGCAGGAACAAAAAACCAATGACTTATATAGAAGGCATAGAGGGCTGCTAGAAAATCTGAACGCCGCTGGATCTTATGGCCTGCCATAAATACATTTTGGTACAAGACCGAGTCGAAGAACCAAAAATCATTGGGCAAATAAGTCCAGGTGGTGAATGTCTTGCCATCACTGTAAGGGCCAGTCAGGGCAATAGCCATGTCGGCGTCAGATGGCCTTCGGAGAATAGGATACTTAAGGTCGGGAGGGCAAACGTGTGGGCACCAAGAAGATATGGCCAATGTCTTGACTGTAATGCGAATGAGATGGCCATCAATAGTAGTCCACAACTCAGATAGATTACTCAGGGCCGGCAGGAGATTCTGGTAGAATAACCGGAAGAGCTGTGGGTAAACCGGGTAGGCCACCGGGGCCAGAATAGCTAAAATGCCGCGCTGATCAATCTCATCATAGGTTGCCTTGGTCAGGACTGATCGGGAGAACAAAGCAGTGTCAAAGACAGACTTATGCGCCACTGAAAGGCTTGAATATCTCCTGATAGGTCTATCTCAGACCTGGCCGGTCTGTACCGGTGGTGGTGAAGGAGGTGGTATATACTCGGTTTCATCTGCTGATGAAGAAGATGAGGATGCGGATGTAGAAGAGGCGGAGAGCTTGGACTGAGCTGGAGCTGGCTCCTCAAGCTCCTTTATACGCGGTCTCACTCTGCGCTGATACTGCTGGCGGGCAACTGTCTTGACTTGAGCCATGGCCTGCAAAAAGAAAAGAAACACTTGCAACTGGAGTTAGTAACAAGAAATAACATATGAAATATAGAATTGAAGCACAACAGATATGAATATGTTTGTTAAGTTAAGATAGACAACTCAGAATAAATTACATGAATCTATGCAAGTGATAATGCAGCCAGGTATGGACAGTGACTAAGTGAAAAGTGCTAGATATGACAGAACGGAATGCAACCAATGTGGAAAACAAAAGAATTGGGCATAAATTGGATAGCATGAAACATAAAAGATGGTATGCAAGATAGTAAAGTTCGATCGATCATGAAAAAGATGAGATCGATCTAGGTTGGATCAATCATGAAATGGTTGAGATCGATCTTTCTCTGATCAATCAGAGAAAGAATGTGATCGATCGAACTTTGTAAAAAACATGAACAGTCACAGATTTGTGACATGGGCAACACGGGGCACCCAAATGTGCTCAAGGGCCCCTCTAAACCTCAACAAGTCAATATTGGTCACTTAAATAGACACATAACCCCCGAAATCAAAATCGGAACTAAATATATACATATATATATATATACACATATGTAATACCCCTAATTTCAAAAGGATAGTCCTAGTATTTAATTTATTATTTTAATTGAATTTTAAATTATTTAACTTGTTGATTGGCGTGTTTATTTGCAATAATTGATGACTTGTTATTTAATGGTGATTTTGTGAATTAATTAATTATTAAATTGTATTTTATTTTTTGGATTAATTATAAACTTGTTTTTATTTTCTGTATTACGTTAAATCGGAATCTATTGTTTTCCTTCAATTAAATTGATTATTAAATGTTTTAAATTTAAGAAGTATTTTAATTAATTATTCGTTATGAAAATATAATTAGGGTTTTGTTTTTAGAAGTCACGTAGGTAGCCGATGTCGGTTTTAATTAAGTTTTCTCTGGGCCGATTAGTATTCTGTTAGGGCTTGAATTAATTTAGGTTTTGTATAACTATAAATAAACATATTAAAGTTAGGCCTAGGGTTTTAGAACCCTATTCACGTCTGTGGAAGTAGAGAAAGAACAAAAGAGGGATTTCAGTAGGAATCGCCAGAACTTTTGAAGACGACGTAGAGATTTTGGAACAAAAGTCTCAAAGGCAAGTTCTAATCCTAGCTCTTTCACTTTGGCTCATGTTCTTTGCATGTCTAATACAGCTCCAGGAAGATAATAATGATTAAAAATTAATCCGCGTCTTCATGTTATGATGTTTTAAAACTGATCGTAATTGTATAATTAAGTACTGCTTGTTTCGAGGTTTTCTTGTTTAACCTTTAATTGAATGCATGTAAATTGATATATATAGGGTTTTAATTAATCTGGAACACATGGGAATACAGTGGAATTAAACTGGATCATAGGGTTGAATGCTTTAATCAGTGAGTGTTCAGGAATAAACAATTACTTCGTTTTAAGTTTTGTTGTGTAAGTTGTGTTCCGAAGAATAACTGGGTTTGTATAAAGATTTAAATTATCTATTGAACATACTGGAACTCAGTTTAGAGACCTAGAAGTCTTAGGAATTGAGGACAGATAAACTGAACGTCGCCGGAGTAGACACAGGGGACGAAAACAAGCAGAGAGGAGGAGAGAGAGGAAGAGGCGGCTCCATGGAATCATGGAGCCCGCTCTAAAAGGATTTGGAGGTGGCTCCAAATAGTTTGGAGGCGGCTCCTTCATGGTTTTTCAAGGTTTTTTCAGTTTTGGTTTTTTTGGCGATAGTTTGGGCTACAGAACTCGGATTTTAGGATTTTCAGATTCTGTAGGAAACTATCCTTGGGTGTTTTGAGATGTTTTAAGTCTAGTTAACACTTGAGAGAGTGGATTAATGCTTAATAAACCAATAGGAGTTTAAAGCTTGAACACTGGTAATCTCGACGGAAAGTGTTTTATTTCAATGTAGAGGAATTCTAAATTACTGAACCTTAATTTATTTATTCTCTGAGTGAAAATTTTATTAATATGATATTATTAATAGTGGACAAGCATGATAATTAATACAGTTTTATTAGACTTGTCATGGTTTTATGGACGAGAAGAATAAATTATCTGCATGCTCAGAGTAAGTTAATTTGTAACGGAGATATGGGATGAACATGATGCTTATCTATTTAATTTATGTTCATCATGGAATTAATTGATATGTCTTATTATTTTGATCTATTAGTTACTGGAGTAAGCATGTTAGTCTATATTTCTATTTATGCTTACTATGGTTCAGTTGCTATGTGCATTGAGTATGTATTCTATCAACTGTAGGATGGATTGGATTGTATGTATCGGTATGGAATGGTGACATAGTAGGTTTGGATTAGTTCAAATTGTTAAGTCCTACCTAATTTGGATTAAGGGAATGGATTATAATAATTGAATCTTCCTTATGTATAAGTCTGTGTAGTTGAATAACCTGAACGACTTAAGTCTGTGCGGTTGAATAAGCTGAACGACTTACTGGATTTCTTATGGATGAATGTGAATGGAGTTTAAATATATTATTATGGTACCGTGACTTGAGCTTGAGTCTCAGAGTCAACGGTTAGGGAGCGTATATGCAATAGGACGAGTAACTGGCTATGCTGGTTGAGGTGTACACTGTTAGGCTTAGGTAGTCATGCCCACTCAGGTGCGTTTTGCATGTTACCTTTTACTGAGGTTGAGACCTGTATCATAGTCCAGTGAGAGTCCATAGTGTGGATGTATATATATATATATAGACACGGATTATATAGTTATTGTTGAGTTGGTTAGCGTGTATATGCGTATCGAGTCTCTGCTTGGATTATAGTAGGATAGAACTTGTTCGTGGGCCTGACCTACTCCTATTTTTCAGGTATACGTCAATTCTAGTCTTGAGCTTGTTCGTACTGAGCAGAGGCAAACACTCATTCTTCCAGCGACGTATGAGCTCTATTCATATTGTTTTCTTTTAGTTTTTCAGTTCAGTTTGGTTTTCTTTTTAGGGGTCCACATGATGGATTCCCGAGTTGTACCCTTGGAGGTTTTGGGGTTGGATTATTATTATATGGGATTTTAAGTATTTAATATTAAAGGATTTTATATTTTAGTTTCTTTCAGCTCATTATATTATTTCTTTATTCACTTTGTATTCCGTGTTCATTTTAACATATTAATTGTTTGATATCCCTTAGGTTTGGTCCTGGGCCTGATCAACCCGTATCTCGGATTCGAAGGGTATCACAGTTGGTATCAGAGCACTCCAGGTTCAAGTGTCTCTAGGGTGTTTCGTATTAAGTCTTTTGCGTAGCGTTTTTTTATTTATTAGAGTTTAAGTTTAGGATTCGTTGAATTCTTTTACGGTTCGCTTAGAACGTACTGATGTCTGTCTTTCTATGTTAATAGATGGTTAATGGTAGGAGAAGAGGATAAAACATGCAAGGAAATAAGAGGCAGAGGAGAGCGGCAACGTAGGCAGCAAGAACGTCTACAGCTTCAGCTAATGGAAGAGGAGCAGCAATTGCCTGGATTTGAGGATGACAATGGTCAGTTTCGTAATAAGCAGGAGGAAGTTCAGCAGACACCGGGTCAGGTTAGAGATCCAGAGTTTCCCTCTCACCTCAATGACTTCGTTGCTCAGGCTATAGAAGCTGGGGTAACAGCTGCACTTCGGAATCAACCACCAGTTCAGTAGGTACCTGTACCAACACCGGTTGTTCAGACTGACTCATGGGAAAAGGCCAGGAGTTCTTTTACAAAAGGGGAGTCCACCTGAGTTCAAAGGTTCCACCGATGCGAGAGTAGATCACTAGTGGAAACAAGATATCGAGCGACATCTTTGTTTGGTTCAGTGCACAGAGGTTCAGAAATAGATGTTTGCTACCTTCAAGCTAGTTGGGGATGCACTACAATGGTGGGAGTCAGTTACCACCACAGAGGAGAGGATGGCATTGACTTATGATGAGTTCAGTGCACGCTTTGAAGAGAAGTACTTCCCTTATGCAGTCAGGGCAGCAATGAAGACTGAGTTTTTAAATTTGTCGCAGGGGAACATGACAGTGGCGGAGTATGAGCAGCAGTTCACGCGCTTGTCTCTTTTTGCACTGGAGGAGGTGGATACAGAGGAGAAGAAGCGCAACAATTTTGTTAAGGGACTGATGTAGTCTATCAAGAGAGCTATTACAGGTAGTCTAGCTTATACTATATATGCTCAGGTGGTAGACGCCGCTCTACAGCAGTATCAGTTGACCGTGGACTTCAGACAGGCTCGTGGTGAGAAGCGGGGTGATAAAGACTCTGCTAATCAGTCAGCTGAAAAGGGGAACGGTAATGGTCACCAACAGAATGACAAGGGCAAGTTCCAGGGACAACAGCCTTGGAAGAAGCACAAGGGTGGTTCAGATGCTCACAGGAATGGGGTACCTATTCAGAGGCAGCCGAATGGAGGACCACAGACAGGACAGGGTCAGCGACCAGCTAACCGACAGAGGAGGCCATTTGGTACTTTCCAGGGTAGTTGTTATACTTATGGAGAGTATGGTCATACTACCAGGCAGTGTCCTAAAGCGAGATAGGGACAGGGACAGGGACAGGGACATGGACAACATGTGCAGCCAGGACAGAGGGCGTCAGTGCCTCCACCAGCTCCACAGGTTCCACAGATTCAGGGACAGACACATCTGGCTTTACCGGCACCGCCGCAGACTCGAGGACAGACACAACAGTAGTTGCACTATGGCAGGGTGTACAACCCCGTGCCACAGGATGTTCAGGCACCTCAGGCTGTTGAGGGTAAGTTTCCTATTCATGGTTTACATGGACGTATTTTATTTGATACGGGTGATACACACTTATTTGTAGTTAGGACTTTTGTTGTTTTATCTGGGATGAGGACGAGGGTATGTACTAGACCTCAGGGTATTTCTACACTATTGAGCGATACAGCCATTTTATATGAGAGTGATGGGTCTGTGACACTAGATGTTGGCAGACTCGGATTTCTAGCCAATCTACTGGTCCTAGACATGCACACTTATGACGTGATACTTGGGATGGATTGGCTATCTCACTACCATGCCCAAGTTAATTGCTTTGATAGGTCTATTACGTTCACCATACCTGGTCAGGATATGTATGTTGTAGCTATGCCACGTTTTAATGGGGGCGGTAACACGTATTTGTTCCATGTGAAGGAGGAAATAGAGGAGGAGGTTACTGTATCATTGGATCGTATACCAATTGTACAGGACTTTCCGGATATATTTCAGGAGATTCCAGGGTTACCACATAGTCGCGAGATTGACTTTGTGATTGACTTAGCTACATGCACTACGCCTATTGCTAGGGCATCGTATAGGATGGCACCAGTAGAGATGAGAGAGCTAAGGGATCAGATTCAGCAATTACTCAGCCAGGGTTTCATTCGTAGGAGTACCTCACCCTGGGGAGCACCAGTTTTATTTGTGAAAAAGAAGGATGGTTCACTTCGCTTGTGTATTGATTACAGGGAGTTGAGCAAGGTTAATATTCGTAGCAAGTATCCGTTACCCAGGATCGATGATTTGTTTGATTAGTTAAGGGGAGCCACATATTTTTCCAAGATTGATCTGCGTTCTGGGTATCATCAACTGAGGGTTAGGGAGCAGGATATTCCTAAGACAACGTTTCTCACAAGATATGGTTCTTATGACTTTCGTGTCATGCCGTTTGGGACGACTAACGTACCAGCAGTGTTCATAGACTTAATGAACATAGTTTTCTGGGCTTATTTGGATCAGTTTGTTATTGTCTTTATTGATGATATCTTGATCTATTCTCGGTCGGAGGACGATTATGCGAGACATCTTCGCATAGTATTGCAGATGCTTCGTGAACACCAGTTATTTGCTAAGTTCGAGAAGTGTGAATTTTGGCAGCGGGAAGTGAAGTTTCTGGGTCACGTGGTGTCCGAAAGGGAGATAGCAGTAGATCCAGCCAAGGTTTCAGCTGTAGTTGAAGTGGGGACAGCCTACTTCACCTACCGAGATTCAGAGTTTCCTCGGTTTGGCGGGATATTATCGGAGGTTCATCCAGGGGTTCTCTAAGATAGCTGGACCACTCACACACCTAACTAAAAAGGGTGTACAGTTCGTATGGGATGAACACTGTCAGCGAGCTTTTGATGAGCTGAAGACTAAGTTGACTTCTGCACCGGTTCTAACTACTTCACAGAGCGAGATAGAGTATCTAGTCTATACAGATACTTCTTTGTAGGGTCTTGGATGTGTTTTAATGCAGGAAGAGTGATCGATTTCATATGGATCTCGGAAGCTTAAGCCTCATGAGCTTAATTATCTAACGCATGATTTGGAATTGGCAACCGTGGTCATTGCCGTGCGCATATGGAGGCATTATTTGTTGGGTGAGTCCTTCAGATTATTCAGTGATCACAAGAGTCTGCAGTATTTATTCACTTAGCGGGAGTTGAATATGAGACAGCGCAGATGGTTGGAGTTTGTAAAGGATTATCACTTTTCTATACAGTATCATCTAGGGAAAGCGAATGTGGTGGCAGATGCACTCAGTCGTTGACCTGTTGGTAGTCTTTCTGCCTTATTCACCACTGAGTGGAATTCTTTGAAGAATGTAGATGAGTTTTTGAACGCTTTTATGGCTTGCATGGTGATTACACCTTCTATCATTCGCAAGGTTTTGCAAGCACAACTCACCGATCAGCAGTGTATCGACAAAGTTGCAGAGATAGCTTCTGGGGAGGTTCCATTTTACCATGTTGGGACTGACGGAGGCTTGAGGTACAAGGGACGCTTAGTGGTACCTTCTGCTGATAATTTGAGGAAGGACGTGATGACAGAGACTCATCATTCTGAGTTTTCGGTTCATCCAGGCGGAAACAAGATGTATTAGGATATGAAGCGGTAGTTTTGGTGGGCAGGTATGAAGAGGGACATTGCTCTGTTTATTTCTCAGAGTAGTAGTTGTCAGATGGTTAAGATTGATCATCAGAGGCTGTAAGGAGCTTTACAACCGCTATCGATACCAGAGTGGAAATGGGAGAGCATTTCTATGGACTTTGTGGAAGGATTGCCCACTTCTTTCAAGGGTCACAATTCCATTTGGGTCATCGTGGATAGGTTGACCAAATCAGCTCATTTCCTGCCTATTCGCACTGACTTCACTTCAGAGCAGTTGTGGAGGCTTTATATTTTCGAGATTGTAAAGCTACATGGTATTCCGTTGTCTATTATATCGAGCAGGGATTTGAACTTTGTGTCTGGATTTTGGAAGAGCTTTCAGCAATCTTTAGGTATAGAATTGCATCTTAGCACTGCTTATCATCCTCAGACTGATGGACAGACTGAGAGGGTGAATCAAATTATGGAAGATATGTTTCGGTCGTGTGTTCTTGATTTCAAGGGCCACTGGGATGATTATTTGCCACATGTGGAGTTTGCTTACAACAATAGTTTCCAGAAAACTATTGGTATGGCACAATTTGAGGCATTATACGGTTGACCGTGTCGATCGCCTATTTGTTGGATGGAGGTTGGAGAGAGCAGATTCTTGGGTCCTGAGTTTATTAAGTATACTTCTGAGAAGATTGCTCTTATTCGGGATCGCATGCGTACTGCTCAATGTAGGCAAAAGAGTTATGTTGATCGGTGTACTCGTGCTTTGGAGTTTAGGGTTGGAGATCATGTTTTACTCAAAGTGTCGCCTATGAAAGGGGTTATGCTCTTTGGGAAGAAAGGAAAGTTGTCACCGCGGTTTGTCGGTCCATTCATGATCACGGATTTCATTGGAGCTGTTGCTTATAGATTAGCACTTCCGGATACTTTGGATCGCGTTCACAATGTGTTTTATGTTTCCATGTTGCGGAAATTGTTGTGAGATGAGGATCGGTATCATCATATCAATATTGGGGAGATAGAGTTACAGCCGGATGCGACTTATTTGGAGCCACCGTGTCGTATTGTCGACCGGCGGGATCAAATCCTTCGTAATAAGGTTATCCCTTTGGTTCGTGTTCAATGTAGTCATCACAATGAGGCTGAGTCTACTTGGGAACGAGAGGATGTCATTCGCTCGTAGTTTCCTAAATTATGGGAAGAAAGTAAGAGCGAATTCCGAGGACAAAGTTCCTTTTGCTAGGGGGAAGAATTTAATATCCCTAATTTCAAAAGGATAGTCCTGGTATTTAATTTATTGTTTTAATTGAATTTTAAATTGTTTAACTTGTTGATTGGCGTGTTTATTTGCAATAATTGATGACTTGTTATTTAATGGTGATTTTGTGAATTAATTAATTATTAAATTGTAGGCAAAAATGCAAAAAAAACCCCTGAACTATCACAAATCCACATTTTACCCCCCTGAATTACAAAAATAAACAAGTTAGTACCACAACTATTACAAATCGTACAAATTAACCCCTGAAACTCAATTCCGGCCACTTTCCGGCCCACAAGGTTAGCACGTGACTGTTTTTTCTTTTTAATTCCGAAATTGCCCTCAAATACTAATGAATATTATTATTTATTTATTCATTTTATCTTTTCTTCCATGTAATGAGGTAAAAACCACCGAGAAGCTCATAGCCAAGTTCTCCTTCCCGTCGGTGCCGCGCCGAACCATGCTGCCATCGCCATCGCTGCACCAGCAGGCCTAACCAGTCCTCTCCACAGCCCATCGTCACCCATGCCGCCATCACCATCGCTGCACCAGCCACCTATGATATGAGTGGATCAAAACCTGTAGTTTTTTTCATCAATATAATTTCTTTCTTGGCGTAAAGGAAATAAATAAATAAATAAATAAAATAATAAATTTGCCGTTGTATTCTCCAATATGGGGATCTCACAAAGTAAAGGACTGCATTTGTAAAATAAAATATTACTAAGTAGACAAAATCTCAATCTGTATGCAAAAAAAGTTGGAATCCAACCACTACATGAAAATTAGGAAAAGATTGTTCTGTCCATTCTCTATAATCCACCGGACCACCACCGATTCTTTGATTTCTTGGTTGGAGAAAACGCCATGAACGGCCAGCGAACTCGAACGAACGACCCGTTCCTCCTGAACCACAACGCCACCGACCTGCGAATCGCGTCGGAATTTCTCTCCAATTGGCTTCCTTTCCTCTCCAGAGGTCTCTGGCTGCTGCACTCAAACCCTCTCAGATCGCATTCGATCCCTTAATCCAGGTTGATATTAATGTCCATGACAAATATATATATATATATACAGCTTCCATCCTTCCTCAAAGCTTCTGCCTCTCAATATCCAGTACCTGACGAGGTGATTATTACTTGAAAACTCTCTCTCTCTCTCTATATATATATATATATATATATAATGGAGTCACTCCTGCACTTCATTTTTTAATTATGGAGTATGTTGTGACTTATTACATATTTAAAGTGGGCAAAGGAATTTTATCTATGTTTGTTGTACTTGTTGATTTTGATCAATGAAACCACATACTTATCAACAAAAATAAATTGTAAGAGAATTTTATAATTTTCTATTTTTTGAAGTGTCAGTATCTCTCTGTGACACTTTCATTTTGCACAAGTTCATGAAGAGGTTTCGGCTGCCGGAGAATGCTAGGACCGATCAGGTCAAGGCTTCCATGGAGAATGGAGTGCTCACTGTTACTGTTCCCAAAGAGGAAGCGAAGAAGCCTGATGTCAAGTCTGTTGAGACCCATCTCGGCAAGGTGCCCGGCTGTGGCTGGGAACATTTGACGACTTGAGAACAGAGGGACATTGAGGGTATTTCAAATTATTTATTTTTGTATTTTTTTTTAATTACAATGGGTAGTTTTGTAAATTTATAATGAAGTCGGCCGGAAAGTGGCCGGAATTGTGTTTTAGGGGTTAATTTGCACGATTTGGATAGTTGTGGTACTGACTTGTTCATTTTTGTAGTCTAAGGGGGTAAATTGCCGATTTGTAATAGTTCAGGGGGGTTTTTTTTTTCATTTTTGCCTAAATTGTATTATATTTTCTGTATTAATTATAAACTTTTCATTGTGATAGTTGTGGTACTGACTTGTTCATTTTTTTTTTCATTTTTTTTCATTAAGTTTTCTCTGGGCCGATTAGTATTCTGTTAGGGCTTGAATTAATTTAGGTTTTGTATAACTCTATAAATAAACATATTAAAGTTAGGCCTAGGGTTTAAGAACCCTATTCATGTCCGTGGAAGTAGCGAAAGAACAGAGGAGGGATTTCAGTAGGTATCGGCGGAACTTTTAAAGACGACGTAGAGATTTTGGAACAAAAGTCTCAATGGCAAGTTCTAATCCTAGCTCTTTTCCTTTGGCTCGTGTTCTTTGCATGTCTAATACAACTCCAGGAAGATAATAATGATTAAAAATTAATCCGCGTCTTCATGTTCTGATGTTTTAAAACTGATCGTAATTGTATAATTATGTACTGCTTGTTTTGAGGTTTTCTGGTTTAACCTTTAATTGAATGCATGTAAATTGATGTATATATGGTTTTAATTAATCTGGAACATATGGGAATACAGTGGAATTAAACTGGATCATAAGGTTACATGCTTTAATCACTGAGTGTTCAGGAATAAACAATTACTTCGTTTTAATTTTTGTTGTGTAAGTTGTGTTCCGAAGAATAACTGGGTTTGTATAAAGATTTAAATTATCTATTGAACATACTGGAACTCAGTTTAGAGACCTAGAAGTCTTAGGAATTGAGGACAGACAAACTGAACGTCGCTGGAGTAGACACAGGGGACGAAAACAAGCGGAGAGGAGGAGAGAGGGGAAGAGATGGCTCCATGGAATCATGGAGCCAGTTCTAAAAGGATTTGGAGGCGGCTCCAACTTGTTTGGAGCCGGCTCTATCATGGTTCTTCAAGGTTTTTCCAGTTTTGGTTTTTTTGGCGATAGTTTGGGCTACGAAACTCGGATTTTGGGATATTCAGATTCTGTAGGAAGCTATCCTTGGGTGTTTTGAGATGTTCTAAGTCTAGTTAACACTTGAGAGAGTGGATTAATGCTTAATAAACCAGTAGGAGTTTAAAGCTTGAACACTGGTAAGTCTCGACGGAAAGTGTTTTATTTCAGTGCAGAGGAATTCTAAATTACTGAACCTTAATTTATTTATTCTCTAAGTGGAAATTTTATTAATATGATATTATCAATAGTGGACAAGCATGATAATTAATATAGTTTTATTAGACTTGTCATGGTTTTATGGACGAGAAGAATAAATTATCTACATGCTCAGAGTAAGTTAATTTATAACGGAGATTTGGGATGAACATGATGCTTATCTATTTAATTTATGTTCATCATAGAATTAATTGATATGTCTTATTATTTTGATCTATCAGTTACTGAAGTAAGCATGTTAGTCTATATTTTTATTTATGCTTATTATGGTTCAGTTGCTATGTGCATTGATTATGTATTTTATCAACTGTTAGATGGATTCGATTGTATGTACCGGTATGGAAAGGTGACATAGTAGGTTTGGATTAGCTCAAATTGCTAAGTCCTACCTATTTTGGATTAAGGGAATGGATTATAAAAATAGAATCATCCTTATGTATAAGTCTGTGCAGTTGAATAAGCTGAACGACTTAAGTCTGTGCGGTTGACTAAGCTGAACGACTTACTGGATTTCTTATGGATGAATGTGAACAGAGTTTAAATATATTATTATGGTGCCGTGACTTGAGCTTAAGTCTCAGAGTCAACGTTTAGGGAGCGTATATGCAATAGGACGCGTAACTGGCTATGCTGGTTGAGGTGTACCCTGTTAGGCTTAGGTAGTCATGCCCACTCAAGTGCGTTTTGCATGTTACCTTCTACTCAGGTTGAGACCCGTAGAAATCATAGTCTAGTGAGAGTCTATAGTGTGGATGTATATATATATATAGACACGGATTATATAGTTATTGTTGAGTTGGTTAGAGTGTATATGCGTATCGAGTCTCTGTTTGGATTGTAGTAGGATAAAACTTGTTCGTGGGCCTGACCCATTCCTATTTTTTAGGTGTACATCAGTTCTAGTCTTGAGCTTGTTCGTGCTAAGCAGAGGCGACCACTCATTCTTCAGACGACGTAAGAGCTCTATTCATATGGTTTTCATTTAGTTTTTTAGTTCAGTTTGGTTTTCTTTTTAGGGGTCCACAGGATGGATTCCCGAGTTGTACCCTTGGAGGTTTTGGAGTTGGATTATTATTATATGGGATTTTAAGTATTTAATATTAAAGGATTTTATATTTTAGTTTCTTTCAGCTCATTATATTATTTCTTTATTCACTTTGTATTCCGTGTTCATTTTAACATATTAATTGTTTGATATCCTTCGGGTTTGGGCCTGGGCCTAATCAACACGTGTCTCGGATCCGAGGGGTATCACAACATACTTCAAAGTTTCAAAAATGGCAAAAATCAACATGGAAGTTCTAGATCTAAACATGGAAAACATGAAAAATTCGAGATTAAAGCTTAAAATTAAAAATAGAACCCAAAACTTACCAAGAACGAATGAGAAAAGTGGACCGAGAGAGATTAGATCGGGATCGAAGGCGAGAGAGAGTTTGGAAGCTTCTGAGATGTCGCCGGAAGCTCGCCGGAAGTGGGGAAGAAGGTGAAACAGCGGTGGGAGAGAAGGAGGGTCTGAGATCGATGTTGAAATCGATCAAAATGACCCTTGGGTCATATTTTTAAAAACTATTTCCGACAAGTTCGATCGATCACTTGGGAATCAGATCGATCGAAACCAGCAAACGACAAAGTATTTTTGAAAATTATTTATTATTATTTTTGTATATATATATATATATATATTATTTTATTTATTTTTTTAAATTTAAATTAAAAGGTAAATTAAAAATATTTTTGAATTTTTGGAAAATAAAACAAATTTCTAAAAATATTTTTAGATTTTTGGAAATTAAAACATAATTTTATTTGATTTTTGCTTTTTTTTTTTTAATTCAAAATTCAAAAAGAAGTCAAAGTCAACAGGAAGAACACAGATCGATCAAAAGACTCGATCGATCCAACAGGTGAAAACTTGCTAACATGTTCGAATGATACACAGAGAGGTGATTTTTCATGGTTTCAAAATATTTCTAAGTATGGGGCACAGATCGATTTGAGGAAAATCTAGATGGATCTTGGAACACTCAGATCGATTGAAAATAAAGTTCGCACGATACACAGAGAGCTGAAATATGCAAGAAATTTACGCACGATGGGACTGAGAGATGATTGGATGCAGAGATGATTGTTCGATTGATCTGACTTCTTCTCAGATCGATCGAATAGACACTAAATGTCTAATTCAAAATTGAAAGTGCAAGCAATCTCAATCAAAGTCCTTAATAATGTGTATGAACCCAGAACATATCTAGACAACGCAAGAAATGAAAGGTAAAATAGAAACGAGGGAGGAATATGGTTGTAAACCCTATGAAGCACTAGTGTTTAACGTCTCTAGTAAGACGTTGGGCTTTAACGTAAAAAATCTTATTATGCATCCCCTCCTTAGCGGGGTGAAAAACACTTTAAATCACACCCAACAAATGGTTCCCTAAAGAACTTGTTGGATTTGATTCAAAGGAGATTGACGGTCCTTGGTCAAATCAATTCTTAGGTTTCCATGCCCTTTCAAACTTTGTTTTTGAAACAACTTTCTTTGAAATCAAATTAAAAGGCAAACCTTTGGAAATACGATTTTTAAGTAACGACTCAACTTTATCAAATTCCTTGTCAAAACGCTTTTCCACAGCACATGCTTCTTCATGCTTATCTATTGAATTCGGTATTGGATTAAATATGTTCAACTTCACTTTCATGTGGCCAAATGAGATTTTCATTATCCCCGTTCTACAATTTATGTTGGCATTTGCGGTTGCCAAGAAAGGACGGCCAAGGATAACGGGAATTTGGCTTTTGGGATTCGGAACAGGTTCCATGTCAATGACAACGAAATCAACTGGGAAGAAGAACTTATCAATCTTAATCAATACATCCTCAATAATACCCCAGGGCTTTTTTATGGATCGGTCGGCAAGTTGTAAAACTATCGACGTCGGTTTTAAATCTCCTAAGCTCAATTGAACGTATACCAAATATGGAAGAAGGTTAACACTTACTCCTAAATCAAGAAGAGTCCGATTAATGATATGGTCACCAATGATGCAAGAAGTAGTAGGTGAACCGGGGTCCTTAAACTTTGGGAGAGTGTTGTGTTGCAAAATAGAGCTTATTTACTCAGTCAAAACCACTTTCTTTGGTGCTTAGCTTTTGTTCTTCCTCTTTTGGGTGCAAAAATATTTCAAGAATTTGGCATGAGCCAGAATTTGTTTGATTGCATTCAAGAGCGGAAGATTGATCTTCACTTGCCTAAACACTTCAATGATTTCATTCACTTTGGTCTTTTGTTTTTCAATAGAGATGGATCCTTTCAAGGCATCTAGAAATGGCGCTATTGGCTCATAAACCTTTTCAAAATCACTTTTCAAAACATCTTCAACACAAGAATTTTTCAAACTATTGTACAAATAATTTTTCAACACTTTTTCATTAAATGGTTCATGCACATGCAATGAAGGATGAATGGAATGTGAAACGGGACGGGTATCAACTTTTGGTCTTGGCATGCCTAATGGGATTTGAATGTTGTCATGATGCACATTAGGGTGGAGGATGCCTTGTTGGTCTATGTGATCAAGGTCCTCCACATGGTCGTCATTTTGCTCATCCATTGGTAAAATGGAGTGATGAAAGCTACCTCTTCTCCTATGATTGCGAACAATGGATTCAAGATTCAAATTAAGATGGACAAGAGTAGGATTTAACGACCTACGACCATGTATGCATAAACAAAACAAAAACAAGTAGCAATCACTTCACCTCTGCAACAAATTAATCAGCAAACATCCTCCACATACAATGATCCCATACTCTCATGCTTTGAACAATATGCAAGAAAAATTAAATTGCCTCCACGCGAGCTCGCGATCTAACTAGAGGTTGAGTTAGAAAAAGCTTACAAAGGGTCTTTAAGCAACTTCAAGTTGTTTTTCAAATTTTGCTATGCTTTGCAATTTTTTAGATTTTAGCTCTTTTATATGCTTAGCTTAGCTCCTTACTTTAGAATTCTCCCTTACTTCACTTCCTTTGCCCAATTCACCTAGCCAATAAAGAACAAACACAATAAGTAATCAAAATAAAGTAAAGTAAAGACACGATCAAAAGAATACTAATTTCGAATTATTTCCAAAACACGGTGTTGCCAAATCCCCTGCAACGATGCCAAAACTTGGTGTGGTACCAATGCACCAAATTGTATGTAGTGTGGTCAAGTTTGAATTTATAGAGTGCCACTACTACCTCTAACTACTAATATAGCTAGGGTGAGTAGGGATCGTCCCAAGGGATAGGAAGCAATATTGATATGGAAACAAGGTCGGATTAGTAGGTTGAGTGATCAAAATGGGGTTTGATTGGTTAATTAAACTACAATATAAACAAATTCAATCACTACAAGAAAAGTGAGCTTTTACGACATAGTATTTACGGGGTTTCTTTATTTTGCCTCGTGATTACCACCATTTACGGAGTTTTTAAAAGAATCATCGTAATTGTTACGTTATAGGATATGTTTTCACGAGAATTTTATAGAATCGTCGTAGAAAAATATTTTTACGGTGTATTAAAGAGCCCGTGAATATTTAGATACATTTACGGCCTATTTGTACACCTTTAACGGGATAAATGTTCTTCGTTGATAAAGCACTAAAATTTCACATTTAAGGCCTTTTTTTTCCCCCGTAAATAAGCAATAAAACTTGCCCGCCCAATTAAATAGGCACAATTAATAAAATTACTTAAAAAACATACACATGAAATAAAGAAAAAATGAACTTAAGTTTTTTACGGTGTATTAAAGAGCTCGTGGATAAATTTCACATCTATGACGCCTTTTTTGCCCCGTAAATAAGCAAAAAAAGTTTTTACATCTAAGCCGCCTTTTTTGGCCCCTAAATTACCATCGCTCTTTTAAGAATGCTGGTAATAGCCCTTCCATTTTTTTTCCCTTTCGTCCATTTTTTCCCTCCATTGATTTGTAATATTTGGGCCCTAAACTCCGTCGTTTTTGGGGGCCAATTAACACTATATTCCACTTTCCCATTTCATTTTGCAATAGTCTTAACTCCTTCAGCCGCGCTCTCTCCTTCCATCACCGGTCTCGCCCTTCCATCACCGGTGGTTTAGAGAGACAAAGTCATTGCTACTGCACATAGAGAGAGAGAAAGAGTCGTCGTTGGGGGTTTCCAAAACCTCGTCTACACTAACAGATCGGACGAGAATTTTTTTAGGTTAGTAATTGTTCGCCTTCTGATTTTGATTAATTGTGTAGATCACTGTACCTAAGATTGTTGTTATTCTGGTGATAATATTGAGTAATATAGGATTGTCGGCAGACGACTCTTTTCGCGAAAGCCCTAGCTCCTTGCCCCTGACCACTGGACATCGCGAAAGCTTTGGATAGCTCCTTGCCTACTCCTTACAGCTTTCTGAAGTCTAAACAAGGTATGCTCTTAACTTCCTATGTTTGATTGTTTGAACTTTTTTGTTTTGGACTTTGAAAATTTTCTTTTCTTTTCTCTGTGTTTTTTTTTTTTTTTTTTTTTTTTGGGAATCTGTTGATCTGAAAGTTTAATTTGACTTCTTTTCGTGCCTTGATTTTGAAAGTTTAAATTTGAACTAGGACGGTCTGAGGCTTTTGTGTTTTCTTTTTACTGTGACGTATTTGAGGTTTAAACAATACATGTGTCCTGTGTTTTAGTATATACAACAATGCAATCGACTAGATTATAATTGTGATTGGGGTATATACATTCTCACTTAGGGTTTTTGGTTTTTATAGTCTAGATGTCTTTTAATTTAGTTTTTTTGAATGATGAAAGCAAATGTTTAACAATTATCCCTGTCTGATAGTTGCGCTGAATACTTGTGATCTGACACTTTTACACTGTAATTTTAGGCATTTTCCATGATTGTTTTGTTTTGTCTTTTAATAATTAATAATAAAATACGAAAACATATGTATATCATTTTGTCTAGTATTAATTTTGAATCTTTTCTAGTGGTTTTTATAAATTTTTTTTGAAACCCTATTGACACCAATTGAGAATTTTAATTCTTTTGTTGGCCTGACACTATTATAGTCAAGTTTAAGAAGGTGACACAGTTAGATCCTTATTCTTCGTGAAGGAGTTTGAAAGCATTCCATTCGGCCAGTTTAGATTGAATGAAATAGTGTGAAATTCTGTGTGTTCTCATCTATGCTTGTTGAGAATTCCAAGTACCAGTATCATTTTGCCAGCAATGCAGATGGTTTATTCAAACCTCATTTGGTATCATTAGGATTTGGAAGCTTTGTATTAGGGACCTTTTAGTTTAGTTGGGTGTATTCTGTATTTTTATAGGTTTATCTAGTTTCTTCTCTTTTATTATTTCTTTAGTTTCTTTAATTATTATTATTTAATAGTGATCTGGTATGACAATTATGTTGTGTTATTGTTACTGAGAACATCTGTATTTGTATGTTTTGGGAATAAAACTCATGACAATAATATTTTGTATATTATGTTTATAATTCCCGTTCATTCTTTACTACGGTAGTGTTTGGCGTGGCTTCCAAATGTCAAAAGTCTTTTCACTAGAATTGGCTTACCAGAATGACTTTGTGAGAATAAAAAAATTAATTTAACTAGTATTATATTGGTAATTACAAAATGATCTAAATTTTGCACTAATCCTTGACAAGCTAATATTTATCTACATCATTTTGACATAAATTATTGAATATACCACAATTTTACACTAATATCCTGACATACTAATATTTATCTACATTATTTTGACACAAATTATTAAATATACCACCAATTTTATCACTTCAAAAAACACATAAAATTTTAATTTAACTACGAAATAAAGGAATACACACAAGCTATACATACATGCATGCATGCGTAAACTCAGAAAAAAATGATCTGAATGATTATAAATGTTAGTGGTAAATAATATATATCACAATGTCTATGTTTCTTTTATAAATTGAGGAAAAAGAAGGTATTCAGCTTTCTCGTGCAGATTTATTCATACGCACACATACAAATAAGGATGGCAATGCTACTGATGTTGCTGCTTCAGAGATGATTGTAAGTTTTCATGCTTCCAATTTGCAAAAAGGGGGTCACGTGCCTTGAAGTGACTAATTTTTAAACTCTTTGCGGTGTATTAGGGGGTCACATGCCTTGAAGTGATCAATTTTTAAATCATCGGCCCGTGTGGAGGTAATTTACTTTCTTGTATTTGTTGAAAAGCATGGGAGTATGGAATCATTGTATGTGGAGGCTTCTTGTTGATTGATTTGTGTTATGGAGGAGAAGCATTTGCTATTTGTTGACTAAGAACTAATTAATTTCATAAACTGAAATATCTAAACCGAACATGTAACTAAATCAACAATGAAATGAAAATGAAAATGAAAAAAGAAATAAAAATCATTAGACAAGTTGAACATGTTGACAAATATCTGACTATTGCTATAAGACAAGAATACAATATACTATACTATATCATTCTCATTATTCAATCCCATGTTGTCAACCACTTTTTGGTTGTTGCAATCCCATAGTAGCACTTTATAAAAATAATGCCAAAAATTATGTCACAATATATTTTTGACCCTTCCAGTTCCAGCACCCTGATTAATGGAGACTATATTGCCTAATGGCCTCTTTATTTATACACACACATATATAGAAAAAAGCTTTATCTAACTTCAAAAAGGAATGACCAAGATCATTACATCTCCAACGACCCAGAATGATTTAGTGGAAATCATAGATGGCAGGGATCAATCACAATAGAGGACAACATGTTCGTACGTAAAATTTTGGAGGATAGTGTTAAACTACAACTGTTTTGAGTTGGATAACATATCAAAATCACTTGGATGATGACGGAGAACACTGAAATGAACTAATCATAGTAATGACGTACAATATATGTGAGCATGAAAATAACTTTTAGATCACAGATATCATACTACTGAAATTTATCTCATATTATAAGATAGTAATTATATTCCAAGACAATTTGAAACAAAGATCAAGTCAAGGACAAAAAATAACCAGGAGCAGCTAATTTTTTGAGAATTTTATAGAGAAAACCAAGAGAAACTACTTACTTGAAAAGTAGAAAAAGAGCAAAACATGCATTCACCTTTTTTCCAAGTTGAATCATAGAATAGTTGCAAGAGAGTCAATATAGGAAACCACAATTCATGTAAGTGGGATAAGGATACTCTTTATTTATTTATTTATTTTTTTTGATAAGTAAAGGAATAAGGATACTTTTATGAATAAAGTTTTTCTATGAGGGTATTATCTACTTTTAAGAAAATGTAAAATATATTAGGACTAAACCAAGCACATCCTGCTTTTATATATTAGATTTCTTTATTTGATGAGTATCAATTTCCTCTAAAGCAAATGAATGAAAATGATGGGAAGTTCTCAACTAAACCAGCAAATAGTTGCTGCTTAAATGAACCCCTGTTGTGACCATCCCTTTTGCAGACCATTTGGTCATCCATAAAAGTTTTTAATTTCTTTTTTTTTTAATTTTATTCCATTGGACTTTCTTTAACTAAATCTATAATGTTATACAACAGATTTGGAATTTTTTGGTTTTCCACTTTTATCATCTAAATTAGTTGATTTGTTTAACCTATTTACTCAAACTTTAATAAAACAAGAAAACTTTTTTAAATTAGTTGATTTGTTTTGTTGGTTTTATTTAACCTATTTACTCAAACTATCCTTCTTCTTTTTTTTTTTTTTTTAATTGAATATCATCTATGGGAGGGTGTGAAAAGAGTTTGGACAGTGGAGCTAGAAAAGATTCTCTATTATTAAAGTTGAATAGTTTAGCATGGTATTAATTTGTCACATTAGTCAAACTATTAATTATTAGATTGGAATATGGATATTAATTTTACTTGATGATAAATAATATCCTAGACTTTTTGGACCTTACATAGTTTTAAAAGGGTAATAAATAATATTACTTGGGGTTATTTTTCACCGTGCTAATGATATTAAAGTCACCATCAATGGTTTTGTTTGATGATTTAAAAGTTGTCTTATTTTTTATTTTTTAATCTTCTCCTTGTCTCTTATTATAATCTTTCTCGTTTACTTTTGAATCAGGCTTTAACATTTACATCTGAATCTACAATCCCTCAATCTCTTTCTCTCACACACAACATCTGCAATTAATTAGTCTCTTCATGTTTGTCATTCCATGAGTTAGAGAAAAGGTACTTCCTGAATTATCTCTTTAGTTTCTTCAACAATACTCATTCCTAGCTTTCTGCATTTCTATTGCTTTGATTTATTAGTTTGTGTTGCTTTTAATCTATTTCTTTGTGGTTTACTTCTTATTTCAATTTTGCTCTCTCTTACATCTGTATTTGCATCTCCCACTATTTGCACTCTTTTATTCTCACACTATTAAATTTGTGAAAAAGTTTTAAACAGGCTCCAGGACCTTAAATATATTAGTTTTCATGTTCAACACTTGCAGAACATTGTTCCTTCAAAGAATCAAAATGATACGTGATTCTGGTAGAAATCATAAAAAATATATATATTGTCTTGTTTGTAGTGAATGTTTCTGTCATTAGATTTGGTTTCAACTTTCTTGAGAAGTCAACACTGTAATACTTGCTGCTTTTTTGGTTCTATTGTTTCGTGGACAATTGCTAGAATATAAACTAATTTGGATAGATTTATAACACTTACAAGAACTAGGTGAAATACTTTTGGCCTTTGAAGTCTATTAAAAGGGTTTTTTCCTGTACAAAATTGATCTTAGTTTGGAATTATAATTATGTGAAATTCAAATTTAATGGGTCAACTTACTTCATCATCATCATCTTTTTTTATTATAATTTTATTATTATTTTTTTTGACAACCTGTACTCTTTTCTATATAAGTTAGCCGGACTAAAGATTGTTTTAGTTTTATAGTAGAATTTCTCTTTTAACATTTTATTTCATCAACCATTTCCCCCAAGTCTCAAGAAAATAATGCCAAACCATATCTTTGAAAGTTTTCTTACACTCATTCATTATAAATTTTATATTTTATATTCTATATTTTAAACCGTATGTTTTTCTAATGGTCACTATTACTTTGTACTGCAGGTCAAACTCAAAGAAAGGCAAAGCGAAGAAGATGAGGACGGTGAAAGGGATGAGGATCCTGCTATTTGCTTGTACAAGGACACACATTTTAAGGAACAAGGTGGATGGGCACACGAGAAAGCTAAGAGGAATTTTGTAAGTTAACTATAAGCTAGCATATTGGATTATGAAATTTGGATCTCATAATATTTTTGCGATTTATAGGGGGTCACATGCCTTTAAGTGACGATTCTTGATTTTTTGTGCACAAATGGAGGTGGGGAATTGTTGTGGATGAAGTGTGGTTTTCATTCATTGAATTTCGTATTTAAAAAATAAAAAAATATAATGGGAATAATTAATTTGTTGAAATGTTGGGGCCATGTGACAAAGATGGTTCACATTAAGAAAAGTTAAAAGTTGTGTTCATGTGATAAGAAAAGCTAAATCTGCATCCAATCTGACATTCTAACAATTGTGGAAGCAGAAAAGTTGATGTTCTCCACTGTCCATGAACCATGAGATGTGAAGTTTGGTTTTCATTTGGCTACTGCAACATGTAATTTCTATAGGCTTAAAATTTTATTATGCTTGAATAATTAGAAAGGAAGAGTAAGGAAATGCAATAATTAGAATGACAGAAAAGAAAGGGAAAAAAAAAAAGTATATATGGCAATAATGAGAGAAAATAAATGAAATAACTTTATGTGAGTAGAAGTGAAAATAAGAAATTTCTAATCAATAATTTATATGTAAGTTTTTCCTTCATTTCCCTTTTTTATTTCCACCAACACTTGAATCCAGATACATACAAAATAAAAAAGAAAAAAAGCTTGCTTCCTACAGACTCTAAAAGCATTACGTACGTACAGAATGAATGCTTAATTTTCCATAAACTATTTGAAGTGTTCAACTGTCATGTTTATATCATTTTCCAGAAGATCTTCGTCGAACTGCTTGAGATTCTGCAGTTTAGAACAAAATCTTTTTTAAAAATTTAAAAGAATAGAAATTGCACATGATTTAAAAATTTATGTTAGCTTGCACATGATTACTATAGCTTTGATTGTGTTAGCTTTCATATGATTACTATCACATTTTATTGATTTCCACACATAATAAACAAACTCATTGGACTTTCTTTCCTCTACTTTGTTCTTAGCAAAATGTTTGTGTTTGATTTATAAATGATAATCTTGTTCTTTCCCTTTTTTATTATCGTTCTGAATTTGAGACTTGTGTGATGCAGCTACTTCCTTGGATTTTGTACGGTGGATTTTGCAGCTACTTCCTTGGATTTTGTACAGTGAGGTGGTTTTTTGACAAGTGCAAACTGAAACTCAAGTGGTAGAAGGTTTATCAATTTTTCAACAGAAGTGTTAGGAAATTGATGATTTTCTTGACAAATGGATTTATTTTCTGTTTTGGAACATTGATAAATGTTGAATTGTTTTGGCAAGTTGATAAATAATGAATTGTAAAAATGTTTTAACTCTTTTGATATGTTTAATGAGATATGTTTTTTGAATTGAATTATAGCTGAAAGTGATGTGAATTACAGGTTGTGGATGATTGATTAACTGGTATTAATTAAGGGTGTTTTATTTATAAAAAAATATATATTTTTTATTTACGGGAAGCTTGAAACCCCGTAAATAAAACGTCATATTACTAAAAATCCCCATAAATAACTTTTCTACGGCATACATGGCACATTGTGAGAATGGTTTATATTTTTTACGAGTAATTAAAATTCGCCGTAGATAACTTTTCTACGGCATGTGTCAGTGTCTTGTAAGATTATTTACGGGTAATTAATATTCGCCGTAGATAACGTTTTTACGGCAGTTACAATTCACCGTAGAAACTTTTCTACGGTTGTTACAATTTGCCATAAAAAACTTTTCTACGGCATGCGTCGGTGCCTCGTAAATTAATTGTTAACGGGAAAATATCCATGTTGTAAATAAATTTAATATATAAACAAAATTATTTTCTACGGCGAATCTATTATTTTTCTACGAGATAGATTTTTTCTCGTAAAAAAAAATGAGTATTTACGGAACCCTCATACACGAGGGCCTAGAATGCACCATGAATAAGTTTCCATGGCGTTTTTGGCCCCTCGTAGAAGCCCTTTTTTTCTTGTAGTGAATACAAATCAATTGAAGTAAATAAAGGGTAGAGAAATAATAGAGAGGGGTCTTGGGACTTAGATGTCACCACTAAACATCACCTTTATAAACACTTAATCACTTAATGTGTAATGAATGAGGGGAAATATATGTTGCAATACTAATATGTATGATTGATTGAATCAACAAGTATGGATGACTAATTAAGTATACATTGTCTAGACAACCTAATGAATAATACAATATAGCAAACTAAGCCATTATTCCTTCCTTTAAGCTCATAATCAAAACACATTAACAAGTTAGAGAATTATACTACTTGCATTCATAAGCATAGAACATCAAATAACAAGCATGCATGGATTGTCCTCCCATCTAGGAAAGTAAGGCAATTACACTATAACTAAGTTAGGAATATGAAAATTAAACTAATTAAACTAAGGTAGAGGCACAATCCATCAAGAAATAAGTATGAACCATCAAACAAGCCACAAGAGTATTCCATTAAAGCACTATGCCTTGACAATCTCTAGATTCATAGCATCAACACACATAGATATGCATCAATATCACAAAACTAAGAGATAAACACATAAACATCTATTCTAGCATACATAGACATATATGAATATAATGAAATGATCAATTGGAAGTATTAAACAATACAAATCATTGTAAAAACAAGATTCATATATAAATCAAATGTCAAAACAAGAATTACAACATAAATCCCCTCAAAATACGTACAAAACATCAAGATCTAGAAGGCATGCTTAGGGCTAACTCTAACCCCAAGAAGATGTTTAGCCACTCATTGATGTAGCCATCCAAAGTGTATGTCTCTAATTGTATATGTGTAAAATGGCTCAAAATTCTTATATAGGTAGCTCAAATGTCACACCCAATGGTCAGGTTTCATACACTAGGGTCCCTTCAATGATTGCACCACGAGCCATCTTTTAATGAGCTGGACTCTATTTTTTTTTTAACTTGAGGAGGTTCGATCGATCGAATTTTGATGAGATCGACCAAAGTATGGCCAGATCAATCAAAGTATGGCCAGATCGATCAAACCTTGGCGGCGCCTTTTTGGAATAAGACAAATCAGAGATATTTTTAGGATATTTTGGAAAAAAGATAAAGTGGTAGGTAGGGATAAGATTAAAGAAGTTCGATCGATCGAAATGATGTTGGATTGATCGAAGATGGAAATTCTTGAGGATAAGGACAAGGGGTTTGCTCTATCTTGGTGAGGCTGGATCCATCACTGTGAGATCGATCGAAGATTTGTCTGATCGATTGAAGCTTGCTGTTTTCCACCACTTTGCTTCTACTTAGCTCATTTCTTCCATTTAGCTTGAGATTGCTTTTTTTATGTTCTAATTTGGCTGAATTGACTTATTTTGGGGATAAGCACTTGAAAAGGGCAATAACATGAAATTAGTCTAAAACGGGAAAATAAGATAGATAAATGTCCTAAAATACTCGAGCTTAAGGGGTTTAAAAACGCACTTTTCAGTACTTATCACATGTGACTAATGTGAATTTGACTGACAATCTGATAAAATGTTAACATATTAAAAAAAATAATAGAAGTGTAAATTTCTATGAATGATGTCTTTTATGTTATTTAATAATAATAAAAAAAAGACGCACCCACAAAGTAGATTTTCAAATAGGCCTAATGAGTATTGTAGTTAATTCCTACTTCACTTAACATTTGTTTGCTAAGTTACCTCCTATCCTGTATAGTTAAAGAGAGTGTGTATCAATTTTCAATTATTTTATAAATTCCAAAAAATATTGCAAAAAAATTTCTATTAATTGTACATAACAAGTGATTATTATTATTATTATTTTTTGACTACAAAAGAACTCTAATATATATTTATACAGTGTAACACACGTTTCTATAATTCTATGGCTAAATGGGCAAGCGTGATTGGCGGACTAATTTTACAATGTCTCTAATAATTAGACGTGGAATGGAAATATATATATGAGGTTTAAATTCATTCACCTTTTAAATGTGTTGTTTCTTTCAATGAAAAACTCAGGCTTATATTAACACTTTTTATTTTTATATTTATATTTATATTTTTCAAAATAATTTTATTTTGATATTTATATTTATATTTTTCAAAATAAATTTTTTCTTTAAAAAAATCTATTAATTCCATGTGAGTAATGTGAACTTGACTGAAAATCCGGTAAAATGTTAACATATTAAAAAATAAGAATAGAAGTGTTAATTTATATGAATGATGTCTTTTATGTTATTTAATTAAAAAAAATCAAAACGTACCCACAAAGCAGATTTTCAAATAGGCTTAAGGGTATTTAAGTCAATTCTTATTTAAGTTTCTTTTCAGCTAATGTCGGTTTGTTAAGTCACCCCAACCATGGATAGTTGAAGAGGGTGTATATCAATTTTCAATTATTTTATAAATTCTAAAAAATATGTCAAAAAAATTTCTGTTCATAGTACATAACACTTGATTACTAATATTATTATTATTTTTTTTTACTATAAAAAAAGTATAATATATATTTGTACAGCTTATAATGTAACACACGTTTCTATAATTCCATGAATAAATGTGTAGACATGATTGGCGAACTAATTTTTCGGTGTCTTTAATAATTAGATGTGGAATGGAAATATATACACCACGTTTAAATTCATTCACTCACTTTTAAATGAGTTGTTTCTTTCTGTAAAAAAGAAACAGACGAAATCCGTAACACATAATTGATGTTGTACTCCTTCTCCCCATTTTCTTTCTTATATCAGGCGGCCCTTTTCCGATAAGCGGGGGTTAATTTTTATTTATTTTTTTGGGCATTCTTTCCACTCCTGTCAATTGTCATCTATATCTCTCTCTCTCTCTCTCTCTCTCTCTCTATATATATATATATATATATATATATATATATATATTTTCTCTTTCTTTCACTTTGTTGTTCAATCAACACTATTATATTTTAGCTACATTAGGACATATTTGGTAAATGTCTTTTTATTTTTAGCGTTTTTATTTTTTGTTAGGTACTTTAACAGTGAATAGTTAAAAAAATGCCTTCAGTGAAAAATATTTTATTTTGTACACTATTAAAACATTTTGTTAATAATGGCCAAAATTAAAACACTGATTTGATATTTTTACATATTTTAGCACTGTAGCAACGATTGATAAAGAAAAAATCTTAAATAACAATTTTAAATTAACCATTATATTTTTTAAACTTGTAACATTTTTTTACTAAACATGTTTTCATATTTTTGTTTCAAAAAATCTTGCAGTAAATGGACATTATCAAACATTATTCGAATTATTATTCAAAATACTATACAACAACGCAATAATTTTTGTTTCGTGTTAAAACAAAAACGCTAAACGAGAACGCGTACCAAAGGTCCAAAAGAGGCCCTTACTTATATATAACCTCTTACTCAATAAATAAATAAATAAAATAAAAAACAATCCACTAGAATGCATTGTAATCAAGCACGCTGTGTACGTATTTATTTTAAGGATACAAACACTTATTTACTGTGTACGTATTTATTTTAAGGATACAAACACTTATTTTAATCAAGCACGCTGTGTACGTATTTATTATAATCAAGCACGCTCTCTCTCTCTCTCTCTATATATATATATATATATATTTTCTCTTTCTTTCACTTTGTTGTTCAATCAACACCATTATATTTTAGCTACATTAGGACATATTTGGTAAATGTCTTTTTATTTTTAGCGTTTTTATTTTTTGTTAGGTACTTTAACAGTGAATAGTTAAAAAAATGCCTTCAGTGAAAAATATTTTATTTTGTACACTATTAAAACATTTTGTTAATAATGGCCAAAAATTAAAACACTGATTTGATATTTTTACATATTTTAGCACTGTAGCAACGATTGATAAAGAAAAAAATCTTAAATAACAATTTTAAATTAACCATTATATTTTTTAAACTTGTAACATTTTTTTACTAAACATGTTTTCATATTTTTGTTTCAAAAAATCTTGCAGTAAATGGACATTATCAAACATTATTCGAATTATTATTCAAAATACTATACAACAACGCAATAATTTTTGTTTCGTGTTAAAACAAAAACGCTAAACGAGAACGCGTACCAAAGGTCCAAAAGAGGCCCTTACTTATATATAACCTCTTACTCAATAAATAAATAAATAAAATAAAAAACAATCCACTAGAATGCATTGTAATCAAGCACGCTGTGTACGTATTTATTTTAAGGATACAAACACTTATTTACTGTATTACATATATTCATATAAAATACTACAACATTAATATATATATTTTTTTTAAATGCAACACCTTAATTTAGTAGTTAATGTAGTGTTGATTCCCCTATAGAAAAATAAAGTATAGGAATATGTTTGTTCATATATAAATAAAAGAAATGAAATAAGTCAAATCTAACTTTGGTGGAAAAACAAAATCATATTAATACAAGATGCCACCTGCATTGATTTGATTTATGGTTGGGGTACGTGGTCATTGTTGACTTGTGATGCATGCATTGACTTATTAAAAATTTAACAGCCAGCTTCATGTATAATAATTTGCATCACCAAATTTTATGTATCATACACTAATTGGCGGTAAGGACCAAAAAACATATTCACACGGTAACAATTAATGTTTACAACGTTGGATGTTTTTGTTATGCATTTATGAATTGCACACTACACAAAGTTGTGAAACATAAATGGTGTAGACTTGAGTCTATTTAATTTAATTATCTAAAAACAATATTTAAAAATTTTTAGAACTAGAAATTAATTTAAAAAAATATCATTCCTTTCCAAAGAAACCTTGTTCTTAAAATTATAAACCATTGATTTTTGTCATTGGAGGCTCTGCCTCATTGCTTTGACGAACCGGCTGTGAGTTGTTTTAGACGTAGCTATTTTAAGGCTTCTAGAATATTAGTGTCTTTATTCAATTGTTGAATGGGCCTCTTGGGCTTGTCTGTTTGGTGGCCGTCTTGGGCCTCTGTTCTATGTACCTTGTAAATACAAACGACAAAAAAAAAAGAAAAAAAAAAAAGTCCTAGACTAGACTGAAGGACAATAATGACTGCGGCACTGGTCGGAAGCTGATGATGATGATATGAAATTTGGTATCAATTTAATTGGCCCGCTTCCTGGAAAATCTACGTACCGTCACATGCTAGCTCCTACGGACTTCCTTCCCAAAAAAAAACACACGTTTCATGGAATATTAATTGGCCACCTTTAAATTCATTGCATCCCCAACCAACATCATTGTTACAACGTGAACAAGGCGACACACACACACACACACACACACAGAGGACTGGATAGTCATCACTGCGCTGACATTGTTGGCTAAAAAAAAAAAAAAAAAAAACTTTATCATTATAGGTATATATATGCATATACCTGCAGTCTTATATCCTCTTGAATTTGGACATTCAAACCTTGGTAAATATTTTTGTTTTTCAAACTAAAATGATTTTCATATCAAATCTTTCTATTTACCCAAAAGAGATTTTATTTGACAAATATATATAAATTTTATTGTAGTTGTTATTAAAAAGTTACTTTTAAATATCGAGGCCAGTCATGTGCTTGGACAGACAAGAAAGAAAGGAAAGTAACTGACAACATTGTATGATTATAGTTGGAAGTAAAAAAATAAGTACGAAAAGAACAGTGCAACGTAAATTTTCTGGCCTTTGTAAAAAAAAAAAAAAATTACTATAATAGATCAGAAAAAAGTTAGACAGTGAATGCTTTTCTTTGTTGTATCCATGGTAAGAACAAAATAGGAACTGAGCATCACGATTTCAATATATTTCCATGCTTAGGTCAGATTACTACGTAGATTTGATGGCGAAAACCTTGTGTATTGAGTTAGTCCTGGTGAACCAGACTTGGAGCTATATATGGAGCTACATTGAACAAAAAAAACATACATACAACTCATTTTGACCCTTTGAATTGCTGGTACTTGAGTACTCATATACTCCTGTATTACAGAAAAATATAAAAATGGACAAGTACGTACTTGATTTGTCCGGTTGCCAAGTCTTTTCAGATGAGAGAGAAAGCGCAACGAACTTTCTAAGTTTCTAGAGGCAGTGGGAAAGTTAGTTTGAGGGGAGAGCAGAAAGTTAATTATTAGGAAAGTTAGATGGGTGCGATATTCATGAACTGAGCAACACCTTGCACAGCCTCTTAAAATATTATACTATAATTATATATACATATAGATATATATATATATATATATGTATGACGTCTACTAAGTGATACAGTACCTATCCAAATGAAATGAATATCACCTTATACAAATAAAGTAAATTATTTCCAACACAATGCAGGAGAATTCAATATAGATCGAATTTACTAAGATATAATATAAAAGAAAAAATAAAATTAAATACTGGTAAAGTTATTAGTAATAGTGAAATAGACCAATTAGTGTCCCAAGTGCACATGCGACTGAAACAAGTCGTGGATCATTTTTATTAGTAAATTATAATATATATTACATTAATTCAAATATCCAACATGTTGATTTTGACGTGAACGTACAGCCTTTGTTGGGATTTAGATCCTAGAATTTAATTATGTACCTCATATAATTGAGTGAACCACCTCAGCTATAAAAATCACTCACTTCGACAAGCATTTGGTTCATGCGCAAAGAAAATAGAGCTCTCCTCTAGCTAGGAGACCAAGTAAAATATATATCACAGGCACCTAGTTAGAGATATATATATATATATATATATATATATAGAGAGAGAGAGAGAGAGAGAGAGTGATTAAATGGGTAGAAGTCCATGCTGCACCAAAGAGGGGCTAAACAAAGGGGCATGGACAACTCAAGAAGATGGAATTCTCAGAGAATATATCAAAGTCCATGGTGAAGGAAGATGGAGAGACGTTCCCAGAAAAGCAGGTAAGATGATACTACTTAATTGATTTTATATTAATTCAAGGACAAACAAGCAAGTTTATATGTCGGGCATGTATGATTTACTTCTCTAAATACAATTTTCAAGAATTCAGAAAATAAAATATGTTTTTTCAATTACTACAAAAGACTGTTTACTTAAAATTAAGCATGTTTTTTTTTTAAACTAGGAACAATTTTCTGTCAAATTTTTGAACTGCTTTCATGCACATGATACTTTCGACACCATGCTATTCTCGCTTTTTTGGAATTATTTTTTAAAATTGATGCCTTGCTCTCAAATTAATTATTATTAGTGCTGAGAATTATTCGGTTTTGTTTTTTTCATGGTTAATCCAAGTAGTTATGTTATTTTGGTTATTTTGAATATGCGAAAATAGCTGTCAACCAATTCTAGTAGTCAAATTTAATCTGAAAATATAATCACAGATGTGACGTCTCATTTTCTTTTCATTGCTAAACAAAATAACTAATCCATTACCTCCATTACATTAGACGTTTTATTTTTACTGCATCAACAGTTATCAGAAGAGAAAAGAATGTTGGTATAGATTCGGATTTTTTTTATTAATTTTGCATGTAATTGATAAAATTGCTCAAATTATATATTATGCAGGTCTCAAGAGATGTGGGAAGAGTTGCAGACTTCGCTGGTTGAATTACCTGAGACCTGATATTAAGAGGGGTAACATTTCAGACGATGAAGAAGAACTCATCATTAGACTCCACAAGCTCTTAGGAAACAGGTACTAATCTAAACACACACACACACACACACACACACACACACTCTCTATATAATTCAAATATTGGAAGTTATTAAATGAATTTGCGACTTAAATATTTTTTTTGTTGGCCGTGTGTAGATGGTCTCTGATAGCCGGGAGACTTCCAGGGCGAACAGACAATGAAATAAAGAATTATTGGAACACAAGAATTGGCAAAAAATCACAAGAAAAGCAATCAAGAAATGAGAAGATCAAACCACAACCGTCTGATGACAAGTCCTTGCTAGAGTCAACGATGGTCAATGCCAATGCATCAAGAAGCACAAACAACTTAGCCACCACACGGCAACAAAACACTGAGAATCATGAGGCTAAGGTGGCAATAACGGGACCATGCATGGACGGTAACTACAGTGACATGCCATCATCATCGGCATCAGGGGACGACGACGATTCTTTGGATGTCATGATTGATTTTAATATGGGAGAGATTAGCTTCCCGGGGATTCTGACGGATTCAGACTTCACCAAGCTTAGTGATTTCGATATAAGTCATTTGGAAGATCATGATGGTAGCAACAACATTGATCATCAAATTGACTGCAAAATCGAGCCGTTGCTTTTTGATCCTCCGTTGTTTCTAGCTGAGGAAACAGTGAATGATTGGAGCGGAAGTGAGTGTGTTCAAGCTAACCTGACTTCGGATTTCGGACTTTTTGACTCTTCTCTCGAAGCAAACGAGGAATGGCTTGGGGATGATTTAGATATCTTTTGTTCAAAACTCAAAACCCTATCATAATGTGGTCAATTAATCGTCTTAATTAGTATAATACTATTGTCGATCTAAAGACTAAAATAATTGCAAGTAGTTGGCATGTCCCTAATTAAACCCTAAAATATATTCCTATAGTTTAGGTATTTCTGCATATGGTGGGGAAAGTGATCACACGGGGTGCTTTTTCAGCTTGTCGTTGTTTAATTATTATCCCTTGTTGCAGTATAAATTTGATGTATGTTTCATAATAAAACCCATCAACTCTCTCCCTTCCTCTTTCTCTCTTTCTATATATATATATATATATATATATACTATTGTGTGTGTACTTGTATTAATTGTTTTGATGAACAAATGTGCAACTTGTTTGAGTGATGCTACACAATTATTTCGATATGCGTCGTGTGGAGTTCGCATGTTTCGATGAATGCAACATTGGACACAAAAGTTTAGGGCTTGTTTGGTTAGTGCTTCTGCTTTGTATTTTTTGCTTTTGCTAGTATGTTGTAGCGAAGTAAAAGCACGAAACATGTTTGGTAATATTTGCTGTGCTTTATTAACTAACCATTTAAATTTTCAAACTTGTAACACTTTTTACCAAACATGTTTTCATGTTTTTGCTTCTAAATATATTGTAACAAATTTACGTTACCAAACAAGTTTTTAAATGGTGTTGAATATACTCTAAAAGTAGAAATATTACTTCCGCTTCGAATCAAAATAAAAGCACAAATCAACTTTGGTTGCCGCACAGGCTCTTATTATCCTAAATTGGGTTGGGTTATTGTATTTTTTTCAATAATTATTAACTGTATTCTCAAAATATCGTGTTTGATGTTTCTGAAATAAGTGTGTGACGTACGTGGGATCGATCTGGCCTAAAAGCAGTAAAATCAAAATCTGATGTGCAAAAGAAGATCTGGACTTGTGTGTGTGGGGTGGTGATGTTCAGATATATATATTTTTTTTGTTTTTTGTTTTTTGTAATTCAATTGGGACCCATTGTTATTCTTGAACCCACCAGTTCTATAAGCTGCAAAATGTGTCTTGTTTTTTGCTTTGTGAAAGGTATTTGCACCGTGAAAAAAAACAAAAGAAAGGTATGTGCACCAAAATATTAGGTTCAGATTTTAATATTATTCGCTGGACCCCAAAACAATGCATGACAACCATTAGCATTTTAAAAATAAATAAAAAGATCGAAAAAAAAAAAAAAATCACGTGCTGTCGGTAACTGACATTACTACCACCTCTGTTCACTGACATTCACGTGATCTCCTGTTTTGTAGGATTCTTTTTCTTTACTTTTTATTTTTTTATTTATTTTTTCTTTGTTTCAAAGTTCTCATCATTGTTATTCTTTAATATCTCAACATAAATATGAACATTTGAAATTAAAGTTATAGTTCGAAAACATCCCATTTAACTACCTATGTGTATTTTAAATTTTGAAAGGTTTGTTTTAGAATTTTAAAATAAAAAATTGAGTTTCCACATATGGCGGAGTCGATACATATTAAGGTCCAAGGCAAAATTTTAGAGTAAAAAACAAAACAAAAAAATGAGTTTCCATGTAGGGCGGACTTGATACATATTGAGGTCTAAGGCAAGATTTAAAAAAAAAAAAAAAAATTATTTTAGTACATTAACTAGGTCTTTACATTTTTTAATCTTTATACTAATTAAACAATAAAAATATTTGAAAAAATATAAAAATATAATAACAAGTTTAGAGAATTGTAGAAAAATAGAAAAGTGTGTGGGAAAAGAGACATATTTTAAGTAGAATTTTATCAAATAATGACTTTTAGTTCAATTCAGTCTAAATAAAATAAAAAATTAAATCAGAATATATACACTGAATTCAATCTATTTTTATCACTAAACAATAAAAGCAATTAAATTAAGTAACATTTTAAGTAATTATATTTATATGGAGTCTTTTAGTAATTCTACAACGGACTTATTTTTTTTATTTTATTTTTAAACTTTCTGAACAAAAGGAGTTCTATTATTACACATTATTTACATGAGACTTTAAACAACCGCCTGAATGTTTAGTAATTGCCACATTCGTCTATATTTAAAGTTAAAATTTTTAAAAGGAATTTCATTAAAGGAGTTAGAATAAATGTAAGAACAGAAAAATAAAAAATAAAAAATAAAAAATAAAATTTGCGCAAAGTAAAACTGTACAAGTTAAATTAATGTGAAGAGAAAAGCATTAAAAAGAAGGTAAAAAATGGCAATCAGTTACAGTATTACCCCCATAAAGCAATAAAGGGGGGGAGATTGACCACGTGGTGTCTGACAATATATAATTATATATGTGTATATTTTTATTTATATTATCATTTGAATAGAATAAGACGATAACAATGACCTTGACCGTGCAAACTAAATGTGGGCCTATCGTGAAGCATTGGGTGAAAGTACGAAAAGCATTTTTATTTTAACGGGATGTTGTCAGAGCTAGAATTATGCAAGAACCATGTTGTATATGGCTCCAAACCACAATTTGGTTACAAATTACAATCACATGATCTCTTTTAATATATAAATTTTCATTCCAACTCTGTTCCTAATGGAATCTCCAACTGTTGAGCCAAATTCTGATCCAATCCGATCTTAGTTTCTTTTTATTTTATGAGATTGATATATTTTATAGTTTATATTATAGCTTCGTTGTTGATATGCGTTTCGACTTCAATTAATTATCGTTGTTATTCTTGTATTTGTGTTAAATTAATAAAATTGATCAAAAAGAAGAATAATATTCCAGTAATAAAAAGTTCAATAATTATATTGGCTCGAAAGAATCATAGTGAATATGGAGAGCATGAATCCGTCACTGCAGTCATGAAATAATTTTTTGTCCTTTTTATTTTTTATTTTTTTATTAATATTAGCGGGTCTATGTTACTTTAAATCTGCTTTCTCTTAATTTTTCTAATTACTCCATTATTAGTAAATTAATCTTTTCAAACCACAGCGTATCATCTCATTTAAATTTAGGCGGCATAATAATAGTAACCACAATAATTTGGGTTCACTATTTAAGTCCAAACCAAGAGAAAATTAAACCGAAAACAGAAGTCAAAATAAGAAAATCAATCAACTTTAGCTCCTCTAATGATGGAATTAATTATAATAGCTTATACTAATAAACTCATGCCACATGGAGAGAAGCTATCAACATCATCATCAATTACAAAATTAAACAAAGTTAAAAACCATGAAATGAAGGCACTGAAATACCACTGAGATGTACGTTGATTATTGTGCGTTGAAATCGAAGTAAATCACATAATTCGTTACAGAGATTATACAATTAATTTCACTCCTGCGTTATGGGATTTTTTTGTTAGGTGAAAAGGCAAACTCCTTCAAACCAGCCAAACTATTCACACACACACACACACACAACCAACCAACTGGTAAAAGCTGGCAAAAATTACATTCTGGATCCAATTGGTATAATAATTCGTCCTACATGAGGTACAATAAATGAGTTGAAAATGTGACGTGAATGATTCAATCAGTGTAAATAATTGACTGCCTACACCGTACTGAAGTTTCTCTAAATTCAGTTCAAACTTAAGTAAAATTTTGAAAAATAGCTAGGTTCATGTAATGTTTCACGTTGCTTAATTGAGAAAGAAGAAAGAAGTTTGTTACATTTATAAGAGGATCTCTGCCTACTATGTAGATATATATCTTATTTGTTTTGAAAATTATAAATACAAAAAGTGTGCATTACAATATAATGAATATAGTGATGGATTTAAGAATTCATATGAAGGAATAATTTTAAAATTTTATTAATATAAATATAAAAAGATATAAATTTAAAAGTATAAAATATAATAATAAAAATTAATAAACTAATATCACGTGGTGTGGGCGCATGATTATTATTTCTTTTCTTTTGCTTTTTGACCACTCACATAATTATTACTTCTTTTCTATTGCTTTTCACCACATGATTGTAAGTGGGCCACCATTTATTCTTTTTTGTCCCAATGTTCAGATTTTTTTGTTGAGAAACACGTTTTGAACAAGACTACTGGTGCACAAATTGGTGTTGATATCTTATTTTAGGATATGTTTGGCTTTATGTAATTAGAATATTGAAATTGAAATTGATAGAATTTGACAAAAATAATTAAAAAAAATTGAACCAAAATTTTATTAAATTTACTAATTTCAATTTCAATTTTAAAATTTCAATACTATATAATCGAAGACACCTTTAATAAATTTTCTAGACCACTCCTAAACACGATCCTAAACATTAGATAGATAAATTAATTGATAGACAGAGCTACCTAACTTTGACGATAGAAGAACATAGCTATTCCCCTAGGCTTCCCGCGTGTTTTAAGGGCATTCAATAATATATGGACCTAGACATACATTTATGATTTTCTATTGTGAGCCTAAAAGGTGTTCCTTCAAAGCGCACTAGTTCTTGTTTTCAGTATATATTAGGGTATTAATTTGTATTTCAAAAATTAATCTCTAAGAAAACACAATTAATCAAACTTTCAAGTCCAAAGCTTTATCTTACCATACTAATCTAATCTATGTTCTAATATAAAATGAAAATCCATGATCCGTTTGATAATTTTTAATGTGAAAGACGAAACATTGTCATAATTTTATACATCATCAAAGAAAACAAAATGTAAGAATCACTCTTGCAGAGCAAGTATTTCTTGTTTGCAAATCTGTGGCACTGAAATTGGTTTGGATTGCAATGTTCAGATTGTTATTTACCCACAAAAAAAAAAAAAAAAAAAAAAAGGTGTTCAGAATATATATGAGTCTTACTCTTTATTTAGGAGTTGTGCGCGTTTGCAGATGGCGGATCCGTGTGTGGTTTGTTTTGTTATTAGAGTTTACCGGTAAAGGTAATTGGGTTTGGACTCTAATTGGGCTTGATGAACAGTGATACGGAAGAAAATATTGGGCTGAGAGGATATGGGGCTGAAAGAATGCGTGGTTGAACTATCTGGGTCTAAATAACGCTACGAAAGTACCAACGGTTAGAGACACTAGCTAACTCATTTCTTCTTCTCCCTTCCTACTCCATTTTTTCGTTCTCCATTAAACTCCTTCTGGAAGCACCAAAATGGGTCTTACTTGGATTCTGCGTGAACCTTGAAAGTAAATTAACTGGAAACATGATATCTGGTGATATATATTAATGTACAGATAGACAAGTCAGAGCAATATGCACCACACGAAAGGAGAAAAGTGGGACAAAATTTC